AAAGTCAGGAGTTTCAGATATTACTTGTCTAGTTTTAGGCATTTGAAAAGATACACGATTGATATATACATTGTCCATGCAGATAAATGTTTTGCTTTAAATAGTATACGGGTCAATTCTTTAATTCTTAGTTACAAAAACATGTAATCTAAATGTAAAAATGAAAGTGCATGTCTATATGCAGTGTGTATGCGACTTCATGAGGAAATTATTCTTGATGTCTTTAAATTGTATGCACACGGTGAAAAATTATGTGAAAAGATGAATTGCGTTATTTTTCTGGACGTATTTTCGGGATTAAGACGTAAGAAAAAATGTTCCCAGACCATTCCACTAGTGCTACACAAAACAGACATTTCTCTTTTCTTGTGCCAACCCTCGTCAGTCAATTCTGACTCAGTCCTGATACCAGCCATCAATATTTTCTCATTTGTATCGGCTGTCGAAAAAGCAATATTTCCAATGTTAAAAGAAACATATTCGTAATTTGGCTTTTTTAAATAAAAGTTCTAAGAAACTAATCATAGTGTAAACATTAATGAGACATTGTCGCAAATAGTAATTCCTTTACGTATTTCTATCTTGATTCAAACTCAGTTAACTTTGTTCTTTGACTTGAATTTACGAACATTTATGATTCAATGTCATTCTAGTGCACGTTGCCAATGGAAGTTACGTTGTGTTAAAATGCATTAGAGACACAAAACGAAGCCCAAAGAGTCCGTTTTCCCAAACAGTACCTTCCCATCGTGAGGGGGCTAGAGTTAATCCCTAACATCTGAGACATTTTCAAAAAGGCGAGTGGCAAGGAGGATGGACTTTTTTTTAACCTCTTGTCAAATCTATGTATGGAACTCGCGCTCAGCCTTGTGACACATTCCAGTTGGAGTGGGAGTCTGGATAAATAACTTATGAGAAATGTTTTATCTGTAAAATATACATGCAACTTCCTATTATGAATCGAGTTTAAGACCATTTCATCTGCCCACACGATGGAAAAGATATATGTCTATCTAGCACGAGAAGAGTATACACTATAAAACTAACTTGCTATATCTATATCTATATATATATATGAAAAATTTCTCAGAGTTAACCTGTAGAAAAAGACAATATTTATAAATGTAAAAGACAATGGGAAAACTGTAATATTAGCCAACGCGTTTCGTCCAGTGTGGGCATTTTCAAGGCAAAAACGAAATGAATTTATTAATTTTGCCTTGAAAAAGTCTACATTGGACAAAACGCGTCGGCTAATATTACAGTTTTCCTATATATATTTATATATATATATATATATATATATATATATATATATATATAATTCAAATAATCAGGTCGGCAATGGCTGGGATTAGTTTCATGTGCTTCCACACAATCATCAGGTAACAAGTGACTTGTAATAAGATGAATACCCTATATATCACTGGCTGCCATGGGTACCTCGCCGTGGTGTAATGGTTAGAAAGCTTGTCTTGCCAGATGAGTTACGATTGAGTAGTGAGTCCAATCCTCACTGGTTGACCCATACTTTCGGCCTTGTGCCACATCTAAGCTGCGCTTAGAACATCACTATGCCACTGGCTACCTGATGATTGAAAGCACATGAACTAATAGTAGTGGCCAGTCATTGCTGACATGGTTATTTAAATTAATATTCAAAAGTTCTGCCATTTTCTTGTGGCATGGAGCACTTTTTAGGCCAGAAGCATGTTTTGGTGTTGACTCTATTCAGAGCTGCTCATTTAAACCCTGGATTTTATTTTTATTTTATATACATACATACATATACATATATATATATATATATATATATATATATATATATATATATATATATATTAGGGTTATGGCTTTTTTGTAAGATAATTGATTTCCTGTATCATAATTTGATGAACTTTTGTTAAAAGATAATGAAGAATTTAAGTTTAATTAAAAAAGTCACCCTCCAACACGAAATTTGTAAAATAGTATATAACTACATCATTAGCAAATTGAAAAATAAAGTTTCTGTAAGTTTGCAATTTTTGTTTATTTCTAAATGCTATAGCTATAAAATACTAAATGTACTAAAATATATAAGTAATATCCAATTGAATCATTAGAAAATTGAAAAAATAAAGCTTCTGAAATATTTTGATATTTTACCTTTGTTGCATATGTAGTAAAATCTAATTTTTAGTTTGGGTTGAATTTTTCAGGAACTAAAAAAAAATGCCTTTTTCATGACTTTTGGACAGAAGTTCATCGACTTGTGATAGAAGAACATAGTTTTGCAAAAATTCATAGTCCTATATATATATATATATATATATATATATATATATATATATATATATATATATATATGTATGTATATTATTTGCAGATGTGTAAATGCAGATTATATATAAATAAAAACATGTGTTAATTTGTAATCAATGAGATGTCTTGTATGTTGACGTATCATGAAACATTCTGTGCATCGTGTGCATGTTTTAAGGGAATTCAGTTGAACAAAATTGAATTTTAATATTAATAATAATGATTAAACTTGTAACTGAAGATGATAATATCGCTAATTTCTGAGAATGTAATGTTACCAATGACCAATTTGAGTTACCCTGACGTATTGTCATTAATCTATGATTTATTCAGACGAGTATCTTTCTAATCCTTGTTTTGATCACCACCTTTTGGTCGATACGTTCCCTTGACTGCCGCACCACGTCACAATATATATGTATCTCTAACTCGCTCAGAATCATTGTTGGATTTCGCCATCTTTTCAGTTTGAACAGTTCATAGTGCGCTAAGAATATCTATCGTGAACTCTTCCAATTTTGAGAATGGCAAATATTAACAGACGATAGTAATTGTGATAGTGCTAAGGAGTACTGAACGCATCGATAGGAGCAACCAATAAAAAATGGAACCAATTTAATAAAGATGAAAATATTAATTTAAAGAACTTCTATGATAATTATTTAGATTATTTTTTTAGATGTTTTGTACAGTTTTCTTTCTTGTTGTATTTTTTCTTAAAAATGACGTTTTTTTTATTCTTACATTCACACGCCTTCCCGATCTTTCGAACAAGAATAGAGGTTTATCCCTTGTTTCCGGTTTAAGATTGGGTTTCCGGTTCTTTCTAAAGTCTATCCAACTCTATACTTCTGATGTCTCACCTAAACTCCGAAACTTATTTACTATATATTTTTTACTCATTTATTTTCCGTCAATAGGAGTAGATAGGCGAACTATCGTCCAGTTCACACTCCTTCTCAGCCTTTTGAACAGGAGTAGAGGTTTATCACTTGTTCCCTATTTAGGATTGGGTTTCCAGTTCCTTCTAAAATCTTGACATTCTCCTTCACTCCCAGCAGCCCGTGCGTCTTAATGGCATTATCGCCGTGCTTGGGGTGGGGTGGGGGTGAATTGATTAAAAAGAGATTTGTATTTAGTATCCAATCGTTTTTCTTCATTTCCTAATGAAGAACTTCATAATATTATGCACGCGTGCACACACATATATGTATACATAGATATCAGCACACACACACACACATATATATATACATATATATATATATATATATATATATATATATATATATATATATATATATATATATATATATATATATATATATATATATATATATATATATATATATATATATATATATATATATATATATATATATATATATATATATATATATGCGTGTATAAGTATATATCTGCATCCTTTTCCATTTACGTGATTCTCTGTCTGGGCAGTTAATGTCTTTTTTTTCTCATATATTTAATAGTATATCTGGACGTGTAACGTAAATAAAGAGAAATAAACGGTTGTCATCGTCGTTGTCGTCATCGCGATTGTGACGTAACGCTACATACTTGTGTCCGTGTGTTCGTGTGTGCGCTCTTATTGTGATGATGCATACACATTACATTTTGATAGTGTTTTCTAGTTGTCATTGTCATGGTCCTTGACTTTCCCTTGTATTTTCCCATCATTAATGAACGAAAAAGGTGTAAATATTGCCGCCATAACAAAGACAAAAATCGATCTCGTGTGCGTGTACACAGACAAAAACGTGCTAAACAAACACACACATATATAAACACATATTTTCATACACATTATTAGGTACAAACAAAATAAAATAATAAAAAAAGATAACAGCAACAAAGAAAAAAGAAAAAATTTGTTCTGCAGCGGGAAGACCAGAAGACAAAAATATTCGTTTTTCAGTTTGATCAGCTTAAAAATACGAATGTTTATCGAATAAATAACTGTTTTTCTTTTGTGTAAGTGTTGATGTTTTCCTAGTTAATAGTTCATTTTTGTAATTGTTTCTCTTTGTGTTTAGTTTAAAACAAAAAGTTTTAGTTTATAAAAAGGAAACCATCTTGAATTCGGAAGAAAATCAACCGAAAATCTCTTGCATGTTTCTTGTAGCCATTTTTTTTTTGCCACAACAGTTTGTGCAGATATGTTTTTGTTGGCCTTATCTGTAAATGCGCGTAAGCACGAAAAACGTCTTCTTCCTGAATATTGTATACGTACAGTTTTTAATACATTTGTTTAACATTTTGTGTTCTGTATGTGTACGTGTTTATAATTTTTATTCCCGTGCCAGTATTAGATATTTAAAGAACTCAGGTGTGTCTCTATAATATAAATAATATATATATATATATATATATATATATATATATATATATATATATATATATATATATATATATATCTGTGTGTGTGTGTGTGTTTGTGTGTGTAACGAAAAGATGGTATAAAGAAGTGAATGCAAAACGGAAGATGCCAAACGCATATTTTAAAATTCTTCTTTATCCTCATTGTCATTTTTAGAAGTCTTTTTAGCAAATATTTATCCTTTGTTTATTTCAGTGTTTATTTAATCACTATATGTAGTTCGAATTGTATTGTTCTTTTTTTAAATGGTGAAAATTGTCCTTTTTTTTGTCTATTTGCTGTATTTTTCTTTTGTTTTTTAGTCGTTCATATACAACAAGTCCCTGCCCATAAAATAGGGTGCAATCTTAAATAAGAGTTTCGCATACCAATGCATACCGTCGATCGCGTACGAGGCGATCGCGGTCTCTGGCCAACTGACGAAGGGCAGGTAACTGTAAAAGTCGTGCAATCCTCTCAGGACGGAGAAAGACGCATGCGCGATGTAATCACTATTAATAAATGCGTAACAGGAGACGACGACCCCATCGACGACGATCGTCCCAGTTTTCGTAAGAGGGGCTACCATTCCTTGTTTGGTTACCAGTTTCACGGAACGAATTGCTGAAGCGCGAACACCTGACTTTCCACGAGTGGTGATTAAGAAATCCCCGACTTGGGCGTGGTCTGCGTATATGGCTTCAAATCGAGAATCTATAGAGTCGAGGACGAAAGAGGTCCGGTTCGTATCAGAAGAGTAGATAAGGTGTTTGCCGGTCAGGTGTACCTTGTGACCACTTTCAGTCTCAATCCTGTAAAAATGGCCACTGGTATCATTCTTTATGTCGAGGAAGGCGATGACTTCGCTGTAAACCAATTTGCCGTCCGGGTTCATTGCAAGAACCTCATCTCCTACATTTAGCTGGGTCAACGGTACAGTTCCTTTACCTTGTACCATCACTTGTCCGCTCATGGGGAAACACCCACCGTAGTTAGAAGCAGCCACAGAGTCTGCAAGCACAAAAAGAATATACAATTAATAATACAGTTCAACAAGACTTCACAAACATTATGAAAGTTACAGACGTAAATATTATGATTGCTTTTTAGTTTATTATTATAAAAAGATTTTATATTCCAACGTTATATTCTACAGTACTTTTTATATATCTAGAACAATGGGTTGGTAAATACTTTTTGCTATAACTTCATAACTTTACGTATAGTCACAAAAATAGAAATAGATTGAAATTTATCTGTTTTTAAAAATAGGAATAAAAACTTATAGCTCTGAATCGTATTATTACGATTTTCTAAAGAAGTACACTCATTACCATAGTTCGGTTAGTAAAACAAGCAAATTGTACAAACAGAAACCCTATACCGCGTCGGAAAGCAACTGATTCTTTCAGTTATACTCTATCTTTACAAGGATCAGATCAGAGTCCAAAATGGAGTAATGATGCCATATCTGGTCTGGAGATGTCCCCTCTTTCTAGCCTTGTCATTGTTCAAAAGTGCCTAGGCGGCCTTGTAGCTGATGAATTATTTTCCACCTTAAAACACCTTTCCCCACAGACGAAACGCTGCAAGTCTATCGTTACTCTATCGTTATTTCCCTGGAAAACGTCATCAGAACATGTTGCATTCCCGTATTCCATCAACTGAGGCATTTACAGCAAGGAGTCACCATTCCATGTACACAGTAGCGAACAATCCTCATTCCCTTCGTCTTCTATTGGTAAGAATGAACTTCCAGCTTCTTACCAAGGGCAGCTTCTCTGTGGAACAGACGCCTGAGGATGCGTTTTCGATCACTACAATCTTAAGCTCTTCAAATTATTTAGCCTATATATCTTCATAATCTACAAGTCTTACGCCCATAAAAAAACTCCATTCAGTAACCCTCTACATTCAGTGGCTCTTGGGCTTTGTATTGGGTAAACAATAGCATTAAAAGAGCGCCTATCTTTGCTAAAAAAATAAAAATTAAAAAGAAATCAATTTGGATTGGCTGTGCGGGAGTTTCACATTTTTGACTCGATTTCTTTAGACAAAATCCCGTACCCCTTTATTAACAACAGAAATTTTCATTTTTGATTTGTGATTATTTACCGCATACTTCCGGCCTATAGTCAAGAGTTTAAAAAATGTTCCTTTCTGAAGTCATACGCATATATATTTTAATTCAAGATACATATATTTACACACACACACACATATATATATATATATATATATATTATGAAATGGACAAAGCCCGACAATTATTTTAAGGCATTTTTTATGTTTATACGTTCTTTTTATAGATACAAATATCTAAGTAAATGCCCTATTTATAATAATTTAGCCATAGAGGAGCGTTTCGGTTAGCAAAGTCGATTTTAAATCGGTAAGGCACGTCATGTTATATGACGGTTCCATATAGGATATAGGTTCGATTTCTGTCGGAGGACGCATATTTTTTATGAAAATTTCTCGGACATTCAGGCCGGTAAATGTTGTTAATACTGTTTATTATAAACAGAGCATTTACTTAAATATTTGTATCTATAAAAAGAACGTATAAACATAAAAATGTCTTTATATATATATATATATATATATGTATCCATTTCGTTAGAAATTGCTTTGTTTATGTAAGGATATGAAATTGAGCAGGTATGTTTATTTCAAGAGTCAGAGAAAAATCTGTGTTTAAAGGCATTTTCCTCTTTGTTTTGTCTTTGACACGCTCTACAACTGAGAGATCAACACACATCAGATCTAAGGATGATTTCCCCTAGGGAAACCCGGGTTCGAATCCTGCCGGAGAACGCATATTTTTCTCTTAGGAAACTTCTCAAATCTTCCAGCCGTTAAAAGGAAATAATGAAATATACTGTTTAATATATAGATGGAGCGTCTGTTCAAATACGAGTATCCACTAAAAATAACATTTAAGTAATATATATATATATATATATATATATATATATATATATAGAGAGAGAGAGAGAGAGAGAGAGAGAGAGAGAGAGAGGGTGAGAATGGTGAGAAATAGAAATGAGCTTTTCTTTCAGTCAAAATAGAGCAATGGAGTCTTACCAAATACTGATAACGATTTTAATGTCCCTAAATTTATAAATTTATTTTGACCAAATTTAGTTCTTTTATCAATAAAAGCAGTTAATTCTATGTTTCCTCGAGCGGCTCATAACATTTGCCTGCCTTACTTCCGGTATCACGATACGTTCAGTTCTGTATCTCTGCTCGTGCTGTGTTCACATGATATCGCCATTTGCATTATAGTCTTGAAAGACCACAGATTCAACTGCTGAAAGTAGATTGTCGAATACTTACAATTTCTTAGGAAAAATTAAGTCGAAAAAGTATCCATTAAAGAATGCGTCTATACATATTATTTATAGGCAATACTTTATATATATATATATATATATATATATATATATATATATATATACGATAAAGCAAGGTCTGAACAGCGATTATAAGCGAAATTTTTTCCCGTCATAGATTCCTCGAAATCATTACATCTGCCCAGTTTTGTATACATTGCTAAAGAAGTCATGGATTTTTTTATTTATTAACCCAGTGGATTGTATCACTTCAAATGTTATTTTTAGTGGATACTCATATTTAAGTAGAAGCTCCATATATTTATTAAACACTATATTTATTTATTTACTTTTATCTACCAGACGGAATACTCGTTTGTTTACGTTTGGATACGAAACTGAACAGATATGAGGATTTCGAGGTAAATCTGACGAGAAGGATTTCGCTTAAAGGTACTGTTGAGACTATACCTGGTCGGTAAAACTTTTTCGTGGCTGAGTCCTGTAAGGTACGTCGGATATATATATATATATATATATATATATATATATATATATATATATATATATATATATATATATATATATATATATCATATGAACATGGACAATATCTTGACTGTGGTTTGAAAATTAAACATTATATAAATACATACATATAAATATCTATTTCTAGTTAACAGTTAGTATATTTCAACCTTGAAAATGGCTAAATGTATAGCCGAAAGCGCTCGGAAAAACGTTTGGACAGTTTTTATATAATTTATCTACTGAAAAGAAAAAACTATAAGATCACATGAGAAATTATATAAATAACTTTAGCAAAATACCTTGTCTGTCATATTTAATGAAACTTGCACACACACACACACACACACACACACACACACACACACACACACACACATACATATATATATATTAAAAGAGTTCACTTTTGTAAGTAGACATCCCTGTTTCTAAACAAGTAATAAGAAATAATATCTGATCATAAACATAAGTTCATTAATTTCTTAGAAATTACTTTATTTACGATTCAGATATCCAAATAAAGTCAGCATATATGGGCTTCGAAATATCACTGCATTTCTTAAATGGTGTAAGTGGACCTTGTTTGACTGTGAAAGCTTTCCATGGCACGACAATCTAAAGCAGGCCAGGCCTAAAAGTGGCTTCATTTCCGGCATTTTTTATTTATTAAGGCTCTCGAAAATGCACAGGCCGGTAGACGTAAATTTACATTAAAAAAAAGAAAAGAAGCCTGTCTTCTCAAATACATGCATTCACCAATTCAGCTAAGTGACATATGTTATACACACATGGGGGTTAACGTCTCTTTCGATTCATGGCTGACAAGGCAGAAGATTTTCCTAAAGTAAGTTGACGTTTCATTCTGCAGTAGACTACTTGCCAACCAAGGCTATAGGAGCCAGTCTGTCCTGCTACTTAACCCATAACTGGGGGAGAAGAGATGGTTTCATACCTTTCCTAAGGGTATTTGCACGTAAGTGAATGCAATGAACTTGACGAGAATTCAAAGAGACCAATAATAAAGGCTAAAACCAAGAATGTGCGACATAAAGGAATAAAAAAATAATCGTATATAAATATACATATTATACCAAATTGACAAAGAAAAATCAACGATTGGAAAGACATAGATTTGTCAAAAAGCTAAAGTCAGATATAATGTTAAAAAAAAACAAAACAGGGAGAATAGATCGAGTTTTACCTTTCCCAATGGGATTTGAGCGTAAGTTATTGTAGCGAACTTAACTGGAATTCGAACTCGGCTCTCCGATTTCTCCTTCTGAGCCGATATCTATTACGCATATCCACTATATATATATATATATATATATATATATATATATATATATATATATATATATATATATATATATATATATATATATATATATATATATGTGTGTTTTGTGTTTGTAAAAGATATATCTGCATATAATACTTGTATGTGTATGAGCAAGTACACGTAACTTCATATATATATATATATATATATATATATATATATATATATATGTATGTGTGTGTGTGTGTGTGTGTGTGTGTGTGCATTATGTCCGCGAACGAGTGCTTGGATGGGTTTGTTTATGTGTGCGAATGTAAGTGTGTATAGGTGCGTGTATATGCGCGCGCAATTTAAATGGATCCAACCAAACAAGAAGATCAGGTGCCAGACCAAAGGGCATTGGCGGTTCGTGGGTGCGCGCTTATGGAAGCGCCAACTTATCACTTCTTTATCTCATACCTTTTGATTTTTTAATTTATTTCCCTTGCGGCACCTTTTACGGGTCTCTATCTTCACATGCAACCATCATGTCGCCAACCAAGCCCCTTTTTTTTTCTGTTCATCAAGCATACCACACATATCTTGATGAGTGCGGGTGTGTATCAGGGCGCATGGATGAGGTTGAAAATTGTGCAGATTTTCTTAAGCTTCGTTTAATTCTCGTCCATTTCATCAACGACAAATTAAATCTAACACACAATTCACATTTTAATCTATAACTCATGTAATTTATAACTTGTGTAATTTATAGATTTATAAAATCTAACACAAATTTAAAAAGGCGAACCTCTTTTTATGAGAATTTTTCGTATAACGGAGTCT